ATACTCAGGCTTCCCCTACTGCACTTGCTGATGATACAGTGGGACCGCCGAGGAGGGGCCTACACCGACACATGCCAAGGGCAAGCGGCACCGCTCTCATCGCACAGAGGAAGAGAAAGCCCAGAAAAGATAGCGTCGGCAGGAGAAGGAGGCTAGGAGAGCATCGATTGCAGACGAAGAATTGCGCCAACGGAGGGTGTGTGAGAGAGCTGTCGGTGCATCGACCTCTGCCCCAGTTGCAGAGGTTCAGCCTATGTTGAGGGACTTGGTGAGCACCACTGATGGTGCGGAGCAGTTGATAGAGAGCACTACTGAGGGTGCTAGGATTGTTGAGGCGGGCACTACTGAGGGTGCCCCTACTGATGTTCCAGCGGGCTCTGGGAAACCGCCCCCCTGCGTGTTGATGACTCGCCGGCGCTTTGCGCCACAGGTTTGCTTCACCCATATCCATTTTCGATTATCTAGTAAAGGTTTTTCTAGTACTACAGACTAACTTTGGTTAGTGGTACGTTTTGAGCAGCATATGCTACCTCAAAGAATGGACTCAAGAGGTCCTTATTGTCTTCTGCACTATTCAGGTCTTGGTGACAAAGAGGGAGTGATGCAAGAGCTTGAGAAAGGAGTGGAACCCAATCTGGTTGACTATGATAAGAGAACAACATTTCATTTAACCCAATCCAAATTCCAGTTTTTAGTTCTTCTGTACATCTTTTATCTGAAATCTAAATGACATGAAATTTTTTGGAAAACTTGAAATATAATTCATTTACCTTGGGTGGGTTGTGGAGCAGGTATAACATGGACTTCCAGGTAACAAGAAAAGAATTTTCATTATAGCTTACAAAGTTCTTTTCACCGTCAACTTTACCAATCTGTGCATCATATCCAGCCTCATTGAAATAAGGCTTTTCATTGAGCACAAGAGCTTGAAGAGAGGAGAGCTTGTAGAATCGTGGAAATTTTGGGGTTCCACACATCAATTCCAGAGCCCGTCCATGTTTTTAAAGAGGCTAAGGCAAACCTTTCCTGACTCATACAGGTTCTGGTTAACACGAAGCCCGCCAGAGTGATAGTAGACCATCTGCACAATTTTAGTTTTGCAAAATCTAAATAAGCTTTATCTGGAAAGTGTATGCTCGATCTTATAAATCAGAAAAACAGATGGACTTCACAATTGGATGGCGGAGTTAGATAATTGGATGCCTAAGAATGCCTAAGATCCAATGAAAACATATGATATGAATTCAGATTCCAAATGAAGGTAAAGCTCGTGTCTATAAATCAGAATATTGTGGAAAAAGGCAACTACGATTTCTTGCCAAACAACTTGTGCAAGCATTTGTTCATGATGTTCTCCATCTTTCCTAACCATTATAACATCCCCATGGAAACCTTGACTAGATATTGCATGGGATTGGCCTTAATCCCAAACACGAGAGTGTTAAAGAAGCAAGAGACAATATTCATCAAACAGTGGAAGAACTCAAAGCTGCTTGTTTGCTCTTAGATGGCGATAAGGAGGAAACTGTCAAAATGCACAATTTTATACTGATTTTAAAATATCACATGTAGCTTAATGTGTTTGCCTTAAAATATCACGTATGTGTTGTTATATATTGATTAATTAATGTGTGTGCCTTATGTTTTCTAATTAAGGGAAAGATATGTTTAAGTTAGTGTCTGATGTTACTTTTTATTCTTTTAGGAAATATAGTTTTTGACCAAAAACTAGTCTATTCCACCTTTTAAAAAAGAGTTAATTATATTAGGTATCTATTGGTATAGTTTGACATCGTGATCTTCATTGTCGAATTTCCACACCCATTGATGGTTCAGAGTCAACGATTATGTTTATGATACATTGTGTTGCTACTATATGTATAGTTTTCTTAATAGCTTCTGAAAGCATGTTCCGTGTACTAAATTGCACCTTTTCTTCTAACACCTCATTACTTTTAAGGTATGGTCTCTCAAGAGGAAATTTTCTTTTCTTATCGTAGGTGGCAGTATTTTCTTGGTTGAATAATCTAAGAATTTAGATTAATTATACTGATATTCTTAGCATGGTTTATTTTTCTGCAGGGTCTGGTCTTCCATCTATTGTCACAACTAAAGCTAAGGTTGTAGGTGATGGAGGAATATTGCGACCTATTTCCAGTGGTAATTTACTCTTTTATTTCAGTTCTTCCTTACATTTTGAAGTAATGTTGATGTAATATAGTTTGGTCATGTGTATGTGCTTCTCTGAAGATTTGATTTACCAACTTCTTTCCATTGGTGCCTATGAACTTGTTATATTCACACATAAGATATGACAAGATGTGACAGATAACTTGCATGCATAGCTATCTTTAGCATATTTTTTCTTTTTGAAATTGGTAAGTTTGTGTATTTCTATCAGTAATTAAGATCATACAATACATCCTCCATACTTGACCAGATATTTTTCAGTGGAGGAAAAGGTGATTAATTATTTCTGTAGTTTCCCCACATAGGCAGCATCTGGGACAGATAGTAATCCCTCTTTTCATCAAGTTATCTTGAGTAAGAGATGTATTTCCAACTCCTATAGTTTCATAGTTGCACCACTCCTTTATTAAGCCATCTTTCTTTTAAGTTGCTTATATTGATATTGAAATATCACATGTAGATTTGAATTTAAATTGGTTAGCTATTCTAATATTACCTATTTTATGAGAGGTTGTAGATATATGAATGATTTCCGAAGATGTTCGTAGATGTGGATATACAAAAAAGAATTACTGGTCTTAAAACCACTTTCTGTTTTTATATTGACCTTTTATAATATGAATTTTTTCTCTAACATTTTCTTTCTTTATTTTTTGATTAAAAAATCATATAACTTTATATTAATTGATTTAAAATTGTTGTAGGTAAGTATATAATGGATAAAAGTTGGATACTTATTGGAAATAGAGCGTTACCGCAATATTTAAATGGTTTGGAGCAATTTTTAAATTTTGCATTTTCTAATCTTGAGGTTGGTGTAAGAATTCAATATCCGTGTATAAAATGCAATAATGTTCTTTGGAAAACGCACGATGAAGTGAGAATAGATTTATGTAGGTTGGGAGTGAATCAAACTTATAAAAAGTGGATTCAATGTCCAGACCAACTTTCTCCATAAGCAGCAAAGTCTGTTCATTATATCCCGCTTCCTGGAGATGTTTGTCTGTAAGAGGCTTGCATTGGGATATAGATATTATTTTATGTAGACTGCTCACAGACTTTATATCTCCCTTGCAGAACATCAACAAGTCATCAGCAAAGCTAAGCTGGATGATTTTTTGTCTCTTACACCTGGGGGGGTAATGGAACTCATGGTTAGTTTCTAATTAGGCCATTGATCAGAAATGTATTGCTGACATTTCTTATAGCCAGTTAACCATCATACAATGAAATCCAATCTCCATTAACATTTGCTCAATGAAATGCCATTCAATTAAATTCAATCTCCTTTAACTTCTTAATTGTTGAACCTCTCCAAACACTCTGTTCCAAATCAAATTTAAAGTACCTTCGTGATATTCATCAGTATGGTCCATTTCATTTAGAATATAGGTCATTTAAAGAATATCTCAATAGGGCATTATCTCACTGAAGAAGTTTTGCTACTTGACCTCTTTATGCATTGTAATCTGCAGCAGTTGATCTATAATGTAGAGTTTCTTCTAGAATTTGATCATTTGTTTAATGTATTCCTCGTTGATTTTGTATCTATGGCATATTTTTCTCTCCTGTTTATCTCTATATCTCATCAAATGAAATTCGTCAGCTTCTTCATTATTTATTCTTCAACTGTGGCTCGAGAAAAGACTGTTGGAAATCTTACATTTTTCCATCACAACCTGTTTTGAAAAAATAATAATTCATTAGTTGATCAACTGTAAATGAACTTAGGAATCGTGATAGCATGAAATAAACCATAGTACTACCTCTAATAAGTCAGATATCAATAGAGGATGTTCAACTATATCTCCAAATTCCGGTTCAGTAGCTACTTGTTTCTCCAAAGTTACTTCCAAGTTTTGTGAACTAATATTTCCAGTTAATGCTGAGACCATTAACTGTTAAAAAGGAACACTCCATGTGCAGATTACTTAGAAGAACTGTGGGACATTATGAAAAATTGTTAACTTGTTCCAATCTCAACCCTCCTAATCTGTGAAACGATAGCATCTCCCACGACCATAGCCTAAAGAACAACACCAACTCATTTCAGACGCCCATGTCCATGAGACAGCCTTGTTAACAACATTTTATAGTACTTTTCTGCATTTTTGAAGTGCGACTGGAAGTCTGCATTCAGTGTTGCACCAACAATGACCCAGTCAATATTTATAATGAATTACAAACAAAACGCTAAATGCCACAAAATCATCCTAGCTGCCTCAGGAACCGTTCGGCGTTCTAGAGCTAACCGCACTAACGAAATTCCATTCGGAGAGTGCTTAAAAAGAAAGCTGACCGAAGGAAATTTTTTCGTAAAACTCCAAAGCTAAAACGCCTAATTACACTAAATCCAAATAAAAGCCTCAAAACATGAACCTATCACTACACTAGACCAAAATGACCCTTTTGAAGCTGATGGAACTGATAAAATTCTGATTCGACGTCTGAATCTCCGAATGTTGACTGAAGTCAACTCTTTCAAGCATTAAGCCTCCAAAACTCAAAAACTCGCACCAAACTAAACCGAACACTTAGGAAAGCATGCCATACAACCAAACACCATATAAAAGCTATAAAGAAACTACGGGAAGGGGTAAAGTAGCAAAAGCATGCCAAAAACACAAAATTACCTCGAGGATCATTACACTAATATTGTTCTAGTATGTGTTGAATCCAATCAATGGTCAAGGAGAATCAAAGAGCTTATAGCTTATGAAAAGATTTGAGCGATAAATTTGATATAGCAGATGTTGAACTTTTGAGAACTACAGTTGGGTTGGAAACTAAGACACATTTTGTTTAGCCTAATTATTTATACTATTTTGATTGCCGGACACCTTTCAGCTTCCGGACATACAACACAATCGGGATACCAGTCTTCAAACAGCAAAAAAATTGTATCGATATCGTCGGAGTAGACATCATGACCATTTCAAGAAATTTGCTACAAAAGAGGAGAGTCTGCAAAACATACCAACGGATGTTAATGAAGCTGGATGGAAATTCTTGGTATACTACTTCAGCTCTGATGATTTTAAGGTAGTTAAAAGTGAAAATTTTAACCTTTTATATTTTTTTTGGTAATAACTGTGAATACTACTATTACTCCAACATGAAAAATTCAAATGTACAACCTAAAGAGCACCTCTTGTCCCAACTACCTCCAACAAGAGGTTTAGGACAATCCAGGTCTCAATCAAAGCTATTCAAGGAAAATAAAACATAAGCTATTACCAAATACAAACAAATTCATTCTTTTGATCTAACCTATTTGCTCTCAAATTAGTCTTCTCAACAGAATTTGACACCTTGTGTTCTGGAGAATGGCTATTTGAGCTCTCACTTCTTTCTGTATTTATACAATTGCAAAACTTGTACTCACACTATGCTTTGAAAAATCTTTCAATTTCTTGCTTTCCATGTGTGATAGATCATTGCCTCCCATATTGCCAGCAAATTTTGTATTTACTTCCATCCCCTTTATTTCAGCCATTTCAGATCCTTCTGAACCATTTAGACCTATGTCCAGTTTGTCAGACCATGTCGCACTGCAGTAATCCAGTCACACTCGGAGAATAGGTGTTGAGGAGTTGCTACTACCCCTTCCAAACAGAGACAACACTTTGCATCCTCCACATGAATGTTCACTCGCATCATTCTAGACTTGGTAAGCAGTCTGTTCTGATTTGCTAACCATAAGATAAATCTATGTTTTGGCTGCAAATTTTTGTCCATATAAGATTTTCTTCCCATAGCCTGTGGTTTGAGCCCCAATCAGTGCATTATAGCTCCTTGTGACTGAATAAGTGCCACCTTTTGTCAATTTCTACTTGTCGTTTTTGTACCAATCTGCCATCTTATGGTTTTCAGAGAGGTCAACTTCCTCTAGTACCAACTACAGTCAGTAGGAATGTGATTCCTAATATTTCTATGTTTCTTTATATACACTCCATGTACCCATTTTTACCCAGAGAATGTCTTGTTTCTCTAAAACCTGCCATAATAACTTGCCAACTGAAGCTTCATTCCATTTTCTGCATCCCTTAACATTTAGTCCTCCGAATTTCTTTGGGAGGCACACCCTGTCCCAGGCAACCATAGGTGCCTTTCTCTGTGATCTGCACTACTTCCCCATATAAAATCTTTGCATTTTCTATCCATAGCCTTGAGTACACTTTGAGGTAAGATAAAGACTCCACCCCAAAAGTTAAATATAAAAAAGAAAACAACATTGACTATTTGTAGTCTTCCTGCATAAGTGAGCTTCCTAGCATAAGCATTACTTACCCTTTTAGTAATTTTCTCCATGAGTTGATGACACTCCATCTTACCCTTTCAGTAACCTTTTATATTGTTTGTTTTCTTTTTTGACTTTTTATATACTTAGATCAAAATAAAATTTCTAAACTCAACATCAATGCAGAAAATGAGTGAAAGAAACAAAAATAACAAGGCAAAACAAGAAGTGAATCATATTTGCGGCAGAAAAACTTTTCAAGCATTGTCTTATGAAGCGGTGAGATATATGTAAATACTTTTGATCGATTATTGTTACAATTTCAACAATAACATAATTTCATTTGTTTTGACAGAGGGACACAACCACTGGAAAAGAGCCGAATTTTCAAAAACTTTGGGAAATAACTCACATGAAGCCAAATGGGCAATGGGTTACTAATGCTTCTGCTGAAGTGAATGTACTTTTTTTTACCTTTATTAGGACACAACCACTGGAAAAGAGTCGAATTTTCAAAAAAATTAGGAAATAACTCACATGAAGCCAAATGGGCAATGGGTTACTAATGCTTCTGCTGAAAGTGAATGTACTTTTTTACCTTTATTCATAGAATGAGTTTATTTAAATAAATATGGAGATTTAAAGCTAGTATAACCTTTTTTGTAGGATAAAGTGAAAGATGTTGTTGCTGAAAAAATTCAAGAAATTGAAGAGGGTACGGATGTGGATCCTATTATTAATGCTGCATTTGTGCAAATAATGGGAGAAAAATCAAAGTACATTCTTGGTCAAGGATCTGGAATTAAGTCAGCAAGTAGAATATCTAGAAATGAAATTCAAGAACAACTTCAAGCACAACAAAAGGAAGAAGAAGAAGAACGTCGTAAACGAGAGAGTGTAGAAAGAAAGCTAATGGAAGTTAAGAATCAACTTGAAGAGGAGCGAAAAAACTGAGAAGTAATGGAAGTTCGTTTAGTGCATGACCAAAAATTGTTAAAAGAGAGCATGATGGCGCTAGTATCTCATTTGCAGAATCCCAAGGTATTTGTTTATAGTATACATCACTAAATTAGTAGATGCTACATTACTACTTAAATTTTTTTCACTCTCACTATACATCTTCGCCTCTTCCTCGTTCTATTATTCTTTTATCGACATACTAAGTTATTAATTTGTGTTGTGTTTTAAAGGTGTGAAAAGGAAATGAAGGGTTGTGACTCTCCTGAAGAGTTGTGACTATGCCGAAGGGTTGTGAACTTTATGAAAGGTTGTGTCCTTTCTAAAGGATTGTGAACGTTTGAAAGGTTATGCCTTTTCCCAAGTGTTGTGACCTTTCTGAAAGGTTGTCTTCTTTCGGAAAGGTTTTCTTCTTTCCAAAAGGTTGTGACCTTTACCCTTTGTTGGCTATAAATAGAGAGGTTTTCTCTCATTTTTCAAAATCAAATTCTTCCCTGCTGTTAATTACTGTAATTTATAGTATTTTCTAAGAAATTTTCAAATAACATATATTATTTCATTTGTCCCAATTTATGTGTCACCGGTAAAATTTGAAGAGTCAATCAGATCTTTTATATATTT